ATAGGAAGCTGTGGAGGTCGAGTATTAGGGTTGTAGGTTAGGAGATAGTTGAGTCTTTCCTTAGTTCGTACCTTTGTTAGGCTAGTTTGGTAGGGTTTTTGTCTGAGACAGCTAGTGGCAATGTTGTGTCTTACTACTCTTTCGTTTTCATAGGGCCGAGTCTATTTACTGGCTAGCGCTTTGGCTTTGCACCTATTTTCTGGTTTTCATGATGTTATTTTTTCTTATGGTATCTGTTGGTGGTACTGATATTGTGTCTTTTCATCTTCTTGAGTCGAGGGTCTTTCGGAAACAGTCTCTCTACTCCTCGGGGTAGGGGTAAGATCTGGGTACACACTACCCTCCCCAGACCCCACTAATGGGATTTTACTGGATCGTTATTGTTGTTGTCATTCTTATGCATGGTGACCTACTCAAACAGTTTCTTTGTCTGGTAGTCGATGGTTTATTACTTTTATTGATTGTTGCACTAGGATGGCTTGGGTATATTTTTTAAAGACCAAAAGTGAAATTCTCTCCTACTTTTAGTCGTTTCATAAGATGATTTGTAATCAATTTGAGACTAAGCTAAAAACCTTACGAACTGACAATGGCACAAATACATAGGATAAAAAATTTGGTGCTTATTTGGACTCCTACAGGATAATCCACCAAACAAGTTGTCCTTATAATAGTGCACAAAATGGGGTTGCTGAAAAGAAGAATAGGCATTTGTTAGAAGTGACAAGATCTTTCATGCTGACCATGAAATGAATCCACCAAAATCTTATCAAGAGAATGCCACTTAAAACCCTCAATTTTCAGAGTCTTCTGGAAGACTGAAAGGGTAAAAATGACTATGTTGTTCCTCCAAGGTGTTAGGGTGTCCACTTTGTTCACGCTAGAAACTTTGGGACGTTTGATCCTAGAGCTCTTAAATGTGTCTTTATCGGGTATTCTCCAACACAGAAAGGGTACATACGCTATCATCCTCCCTCTAGGAGATCCTTTGTCAGAATGGATGTTATTTTTCGAGAATCTGAGCCCTATTTCAGTGTTACACTATCACCTCTTTAGGGAGAGCTATAAGAAGGAAGACGGAATTTGATAACTTACACAAGTAGAAATAGAGGGGAAGAAGTCATCATACAATCTACTGAAGCTGAATCCTCTTCTGTCGATCCCTCTTTTACTGGTGAGTAATCTACATTTCCTAATGAGTTAAATTTTCCTATTGCTCACAAAAAAAAAGAATCGGATCTTACACCACTAAACACCCTTTATCCAGTTTTTTCTCCTATAATTCTTTGTCATTGTCCTTTACAGCCTTTACCTTGTCTATTTCTTCTGTGTCTATTCCCCAGAATTGGAGGAAAGGTTTTGCAGATCCTAAATGTAAGTAAGCTATGATTGAAGAATGAAGGCATTGTCAATAAATGGCACTTGGGGGCTTGTCACATCAACCCCCGATAAGAAGTTAGTTGTCTACAAATGGGTCTTCACTATGAAACACAAAACTGATGGCTCGATTGAAAGATTCAAAGCAAGATTGATGGCTAAGAGATTCACTTAAACTAATGGTGTGTACTATTAAGAAACATTTGCCCCCGTTGCTAAAATGAACATTATTTAATTCTTTTATCTTGTGCAACCAATCTTGATTGGGACTTACCACGGTTTGATGTGAAGAATGCTTTCTTCATGGAGACTTGGAAGAAGAAGTGTATATGGAGATTCCTCCTGGACCTTACCAAAAAAAAAAATGGAGATTCCTCCTGGATTTGATACTGAATAGAGTCAAGGAAGGGTGTGCAAACTGAAGAAAGCCTTGTACGGATTGAAGCAATCCCCTAGAGCTTGGTTTGATAGATTCTGCAAAGCAATGATCTCCTTTGGTTACCAACAAATCAATGTCGATCATACTCTTTTCATAAGACATCAAAGCGGTAAAGTCACTCTGCTCATAGTTTATGTTGATAATATAGTAATGATAGGAGATGACAAAAAGGAGATTGTTCGATTGAAGAAGTTGTTGGTGCAGTAATTCGAGATCAAGGATCTCGAAAAATTGCAGTCTTCTTGGGAGTTGAGGTTGCCAGATTGAAAAAGGGAATTTTTATTTCTCAAAGAAAGTATGATTTGGATCTCTTGAAAGAAACCGGTATGACAGGATGCAAACCAACAGAATCGCCTTTGAAAGCAATCACAAGTTACAAATAAGAGTTGGAGTGTGTAGATAAGGAGAGATATCAGAGGTTGGTTAGAAGACTCACTTATCTCTCCCACACTAGGCCAGATATAGTTTACTCAGATAGCTTGGTAAGTTAGTTTATGCATGATCCTAAAGATTTTCATATGCAAGTTGTCTTTCACATTTTGCGGTATCTAAAGTCTGCTCCAGGAAAAGGTATTCTTACTCCAAACATGGTCACCTCTGGGTAGAAGCTTATACAGATGCAGATTGGGCTGGATCTCTAGATGATAGAAGATCTACATCCAGTTACTATACACTCGTAGAAGGGAATGGTTACTTGGAGAAGCAAGAAGCAAAGTGTAGTTGCTAGATCAAGTGCCGAGGCAAAATATAGAGCTATGGCCCAAGGTGTTTGTGAACTTTTGTGGTTACAAAAGCTACTAGACGGGTTGAAATTGTCTGAAAAAGGAAAACTTTCCTTGTATTGTGATAACATGGCTGCAATCAGCATAGCTCATAATCCTGTTTAACATGACCAAACGAAACATGTTGAAATTGATCAACACTTCATTACAGTTAGTGTCTTGACTTTGCTTCATGTATCATAGAGAAACAGCTAGCTAGTGTGTTTACAAAAGGTCTTAACAGACGAACCTTCCATACTTTGATTTGCATGTTGGGCGTGTGTGACATCTTTGCACCAACTTGAGGGGAGTGCTGACTAGCTTGATTGTAGGAAACTTAATTTTAGAAGATTTGATTGTTGACTAGCTTCATTGTAGGAAACTTAATTTTAAGAGATTTGATTTTATTATAGGATATTCTAATTGATTTGTATAATAGCTGTAATTGATTTCCTTCCTAAATTAGCCATAGGAACCTCTGTATAAGTACTAATGCTCATTGAAATGTAAAGATACACAAAAATACAAGAAGCTTCATTCTTCTTGAAATCTTCAATAACAATAGCAACAAAAATGATGGCAATGATGATGACATCGTTGTAATAGAAAGTTAAGATCCATAAGATGGTAAACCTGGCAACTCCTTTTAAACCTCCAGAAAAATAAGGTATGGCTTCAACAGCATTGGCAGCTATGATAGCAACAGAATCAGACGGAGTGACGAAGAATCTGACCGAAAAGAACAAGGGAAAACAAAAATTTTAAAAGATAAAATTCCAAGCAAGGAGTTAAGTTCAACAAATAAAAACAAAAGGAAGTTACCTTTTCCCAAGAATCATGTTACGGTCTGCATCTCCATCAGCAGCTGCCCCAAATTCTGGTGGATTGGGTTCAGAAAGTGATTTAGACAATCCCATTCGCGCAACTAACTCCTTTGCATAGGTCAGATTAGGATCTGGATGTCCTCCACCAAAGTCCTCCTGATTCAATTAGGTATACAGAAAAATGTCAGAAATATAACTTTTTTCTTTAAATCTCTTCCTATTACATTGGGAAAGGGGGAGGAAAAGGATCCAGTGAGAATCAAACCCACACCCATTATGGTGATCCCCGGTACATCTAGAATATAAGGATTGATGGTAGAAATAGTTGTTAAGAGGAAAACATAGAGACAACATATCATTGAGAAGAAGAATCACAATGCAGGGAAAAGGAAATGACCTTAGGAACACAGTTCAGTAGAGAGCTTTCTTTTCCACCAAGCTCCTCCACGAAGATGCGTTTAGCATAATATCCAGCAACACCATGAAGTGCATCATAACTATGGTATATAAAGATGTTAGTACCCAGCAGATACATTTAACAGGAATAGGTAACTTATGAGATGATATGCTGCAACATTGCATCGCAAGGTCTCTACATGCATACCAGAAACCAAATTTTGGAGAAGAAAGCAACTTCTGGATTGATGGGAAGTCAAATATTGACCTGGAAATAGAAGCGACAGATCAAGTTTTGAATCAGAAGTGCAACCATTAAGAATACCTGGATCACTGGCAATTTTACAAGAATAAGATATTACTCTATCAAATAAATGATAATGATGATAAGGTGAGTTCTGGCAATCACAAAACAACTGCTTCCCGTATAATTAAAAAATTGAAGATGCACGCATCAACCCGTAGTTCCATCATGCACCCTTAATACTATGGAAGGGAACTACACATTCAGCAACATCGGTATAATGGCTGCTCTAAATTATCGTTTGAACTTGACATGAACATATTTGACATACATCCGAACTAAAAGAAGACAGACACATATTGAATGATATGCCCAAAAGAAAAAATAATAGAGAGGGCGGGGGGTTTAATTCATACTTCATCAGTTTCACATAATCAATAGTTGAATCGAAGACATCAACATCAAATTTCCCATCTGGGCCCTCAAAGCTTGAAACGCCAGTTTTAGAGATGTCCGCCTCAATTCAAATAGGGCATTGTCAGAAGAGTACCTTGATCAATCAAAATAAGTACTTAAATGCACATTTAAATATAATAGTTAAAGAGTAGGTTCTACATCAGGCAGGCCCTCTGCAATCAAATACTCCTTTATTGTCGTAGTGTTCTCATAGATCTTATTAGTAACACCTTCTGGCGCAGGTCCACCATTTTCCATGTTGTACTTAACTCCAAAATCCTATAAGTGAAAACATGGAAAGAACCTTGAACCATCAGTCAAAGCTGGTAATAGTTATCCATCAAGTTATTCAAGAAACTGCAATAGGAGAATTTACAATTAATTTGCAAACAATGGTTCTGCATCTTCCCACGTTTCTCTCTTTCCCCCTTCAGAATAAACATGTTTAGANTGAAAGACAAATGGGTCTCCAAAGAAGCAAAAAGAGAAGATACAACTTCCTCTTTGAAAGATAAAACACTGTAACATAAGGATTGGAAATTACTCGAACTATAAAGCTATTTAAGACTGCAGAGACTGATTTAACGATTAGACTCAATCGGCAATAGTTTTCACCAATAGAGAAAGACACTCAGTGACTCAAAATCCATGTTAAAAATATATTAAAGCATATCCATGTGAAGACCTCTGAAGCAAAATAATAAAACGTATAAAGGCTGACCGAAAATGAGTTTTCTGTAATTAACAACGGCACTTTGAATTCTGACAAAACGAGAATTACATGCAATGATTATTATACCCCAAAAGAAAAAAAGAAAAAAGGGACTACAAGCAAGTTATAGCAGGAGCAAAATTTGATGCCACAAGCTTCAAAGTGAAACGAGAATGCAAAACATCCTTTACAATTGTCTATAATATGGGCTCCTAGAAAGACCATGAAGCTAGTCAGATCCTTCGATCGACACCTTTTTTCATTTGATAATGTGAAAACAAAGATGAAGTACAAATACTTTAGAATCGAAGAAATATCAATAAAGAAAATATTGCTGGTAGCTACCTCATGAGGGCCACCTGGGTTGTGACTTGCTGTCAATATAAATGCCCCATTAGCTTTAGACCCCTGTGTTCAGGATCAGGCATTAACAGATCGTGGAATGATGTAAGGGATACATACATTTAAGACAAAAAATTTGATCTAGCTTTTAGCGGCAGAGAGCTTACATTAGCCCCGACTCTATCGCGAACAACAGCTGATACAGCAGGAGTGGACATAAGTCCATGTTGACCAACCCAAACACGTCTTACTCCATTTGCTGCAGCCATTTTTGTAATGATCTGTAATGAAGCAGATATAGACATGTTAAGTTGTCAACAGCTCTTCACAAAAACCACCCTACACTCATCAGTACTCCAAATTTAATTATTGTGCTAGTGAAATATGGGGTCTCCATAAAAAAAACATGAAATGAGAAACTGTGTTTCAGTTTCAGAATGTACTATAAGGAGAGGAAATTATAAAAAAATTCAGTATATTAATTATGAAGAAGATATAACAGTTAAAACCAAAGAATTCCTTTGAAAATTTTTTGATAAAACTTTACCTGGATAGCATCCTTGGAGAAGTAGCGGCCATCACCAGAAATAACAAGTGTGGCACCTTTAGAGATGAAAAAAATGAAATTACCAAGAAGGGGACTAACAAGAGTAGCATGTATCTAATCTCCCATGCCATATAAACCTTTAAAGAAATTCATGAAAAAGATTAGGATATCGAATTTCGTACCTTTGACTTTGTCAGATCCAAGAGCATTGAATGTTGCCTGAACAAAGTTTTGCAAGTAATGAGGTTGTGTGAACACCTTCACCTGAAACAGTTCATGCAGCTTCATGTTAGACTCAACAATTCAAAGCAATTTGAATACAAGAGAAATGATAGTCGCTAAGCGCTTATGTCACACAATTGTTAATTCTGTACAAGTTAGGACATAATCATGAGAAGTTAACAAGATAAAACAGAATTTTGACCATTTTATCTAGATCACTTTTAATATTTAATACGTAAATATATTCATTTCTTTGTGTTGACACGAGCACAAACAATACTAATTTTGTGAAAAAGGAATCTAAAGAAGAAGAGGCTAGACTAGAAGCATACTTTATGTCTGTCTCCAAATATTTTTTTACCAATCATATATTTGAAACGGCCAAGAAGCCTACTTGAATCTTGATTATTGCTTGTAACTAGTAAAAACTTTGAAATTGGTTAAAAATCATATACTGATTGATTCACAATATAGAAAGCATGAAGAGAGAGTCGGTATTCAAATTTAAACAGCTTAGATAATCATATACAAACACACACACACACACAAAAGGGCAAGCATGAAGCTTTAAAATAATTAAGTTAGAGGGTGGTGGAGGTGAGGGTGAGGAAGACGACGTCTATATCCAACAATCAGTTTGGGTTCATGCCGGGTCGCTCAACTACGGAAGCTATCCACCTTATTTGGAGGTTGGTGGAACAGCACAGGGATAAGAAGAAGGATCTGCACATGGTGTTTATTGACTTGGAGAAAGCGTATGACAAGGTCCCTAGGGAGGTGCTCTGGAGATGTCTTGAGGCAAAGGGCGTGTATGACAAGGTCCCTAGGGAGGTGCTCTGGAGATGTCTTGAGGCAAAGGGCGTGTATGACAAGGTCCCTAGGGAGGTGCTCTGGAGATGTCTTGAGGCAAAGGGCGTGTCGGTAGCCTACATAAGAGCGATCAAGGGCATTTATGATGGAGCTAAGACTAAGGTTCGGACTGTGGAGGCAACTCGGAGCATTTCTCGGTTGTTATGGCATTACACCAAGGTTCTGCACTTAGTCCGTTCTTATTTGCCTTGGTGATGATGCATTGACACACCATACTCAAGGGGATGTGCCATGGTGTATGTTATTTGCTGATGACATAGTTCTAATTGATGAGACGAAGGTCGGTGTTAACGAGAGATTGGAGGTTTGGAGACAGACCCTCGAGTCTAAGGGTTTCAAATTGAGCAGGTCTAAGACAGAGTACCTGGAGTGCAAGTTTAGCGCTGAGTCGAGGGAAGTAGGCAGGGACGTGAGACTTGGATCACAGGTCATCCCCAAGAGAGATAGCTTCAAGTATCTTGGGTCGATGATCAAGGGGGGCGGAGATCGACGAGGACGTCACTCACCGTATAGGGGCGGGCTGGATGAAATAGAGGCTTGCATCTGGAGTCTTGTGTGACAAGAAAGTGCCACCAATACTCAAAGGTAAGTTTTATAGAGCTGTGGTTAGACCGGCCATGCTGTATGGGGCAGAGTGTTAGCCGGTTAAGAACTCTCATATCCAGAGGATGAAGGTAGCAGAGATGAGGATGCTGAGGTGGATGTGCGAGCACACTAGGATAGACATGATTAGGAATGAAGATATTCGAAAGAAGGTGGGCGTGGCCCCTGTGGATAACAAGATGCGGGAAGCGAGGCTCAGATGGTTCAGGCACGTGCGGAGGAGAAGCCTTGATGCTCCGGTGAGGAGGTGTGAGCGGTTGGCCGTGGTGGGTACGAGAAGAGGTAGAGGGAGGCCTAAGAAGTATTGGGGAGAGGTGATCAGGTACGATTGCAGATTTTCGAGGACATGGCCCTTGACAGGAAAGTTTGGAGGTCAAGCATTAGGGTTGTAGGTTAGGGGGTAGTAGAGCTTTCCTTACTTTATAACCGAGGGTAAGGCGGGGTTGGATTAGGGTTGATCTTAGATGGCTTGCAGTTCATGTTGAATCCACACTATCCTTGTTGTTTATCTTAGCCTCGGGCCTTAGTTACTGGTTACTGTTATTGTATGTCATTTATCTTTTGGTTGTTATGCTTCTGTTACTATTACGGTTTCTACCGGAGTTACTAATGAATTGTTTTTCTCTTTCTCTTTCTTTTTTTTCTTCTCTGAGCCGAGGGTCTATCGGAAATAGCCTCTCTGCCCTATCGGGGTAGGGGTAAGATCTGCGTACATATTATTACCCTCCCAGACCCCACTTTGTGGGATTTTACCGGGTATTTGTTGTTGTTGTTGTTGTTGTATTCAGTGGTATCAACTAGATGAAACGTATGTCAATCGTATTAGCATGTACAGTACATAAACTCTGCTGAAAAAATCATAAACTGGTTAAAAATCATATACTGATTGATTCGCAATATAGAAAGCATGAAGAGAGAGTCGGTATTCAAATTTAAACAGCTTAGATAATCATATACAAACACACACACACACACAAAAAAAAAGGGCAAGCATGAAGCTTTAAAATAATTACTTCAGTGGTATCAAACAGATGAAACGTATGTCAATTGTATTAGCATGTACAGTACATAAACTCTGCTGAAAAAACAAAGAAACTTAAAAAATTAAACAATTTTACATCAAACAACAAAATTATCAGATTCATCCACAGAGTTCACATCATTCCACATATACAGATCCCATTAGCTAATGTACACATATCCCTTAGATTTATTGCTGCTGATCGACAGTCATAAGATTTGCAGAAAGATCAGTAATGTCAGAAATATAAGCAATGAAACAAAAGGCATTCAATACAACAGATCGAATTCAGCACCTGTACTGAAAATCTTTGGAACAAAAAATTGAGCAAAAACAATGTCACTGATTTAGCAAAAAGAGAAGGAGATCAACGTGAATCCTACAGGAATGCGGCATAAGAACGAAATCTTAAAAACGTGAGTTGCATTGCTTTGTTTCTATTTATTTTTATTCAATTACCTTCTTCCGGAGACCAGATGTTCCAGGTTTCTGGCCATCAAACGGCGTCGTTCCGACGCGAGTAACCCTGAACGCCACCATTTCTTACGTTTTCTTCTTACTGTATGTAAATCAATCAATCAGCTATTGTTTAGAACTAATCAGCAAAAAATAAAACAGAGAATTCAGAAGCATAAAAAGGAATCGAGATTATGCGTAACTCAATAAAAAATGACCCGGAGAAGAGTGAGAGAGAGTAATGCTTACGTAAAGCTAAAGATGGGAGGGAAAATGAGAGGAGGACGTGTGTGCTTCTGTTTGTTTCGAGTTTGGAAAAAAGGAAATGACACTGTCCAATTATTACTAGTAAGAGGGAAAAAATGAAAGACGTTAGATGAGGTCATGAGGATTAGTCGGTGGGCTTCTTAGATCTCCGGTTTTTGCTCTTTTTAACTTTGCGGGGTACGGTGTTTGGATGATAAGATATGCGAAGCGAGTCTTGGAGATTGTGCCTTCAGATTTGTTAGGACATGGCTCTTAATAAGAAGGAGGCGTGGAGATCAAGCAATAGAGTTGTAGTTTAGGAGGTAGTTGAGTATTTTTCTACTTCGTATGAGGTTATTATGATAGGGTTTTGTCCTATACTGCTAGTGGTTAATGTTGTGTTCATAATATTCTTCTATTTTTTATAGTACTAGACCTTATTTACTTGTTATTGTTATTGTTTTTCATCTATTTTCTGGTTCTTATGTTACTGTTATTATTTATATGCTTTTTGTTGGTGGTACTGATATATTGTCTCTTTTCGTTTTCTTAAGCAGATGGTCTTTCGGAAATAACCTCTCTATTACCTCGGGGTAGGCGTAAGGTCTACGTACTCACTACACTCCCCAAACCGCACTTGTATGATTTTACCGGATTGTTATTGTTGTTGTTGGTATAATATTAAGTGTTGTCACTCAAACTCAAAAAGGTTAAAATGGTGTCTTGGTTGAAGGTTTAATTATTTACAAAGAGGAATAGGGATCATTTCTCACTTAATATATTTTTCCTCTTCTTTTAGTAATGCACTCATGTACTAGAAGTGCTAGATCCGCCTCTTCCGATGGGACCTTATCTTACTAACGAGGGATATAAATTACATTATAGGCATTTTCAAATTCTCTTTCGGTAAAATATATACCAAAACAATATCATTTTCCGAGACAGAAAGGAGAAAAAAAATGATCTAGGGACCTCTTCAAGTTTGGATCAATTAAATGACCTCCGAAAAAACTACCCTCTATAGCCCCTCAAAATTTTAATAGCCCATGTTTTGTCCTACTTACAAAAAATGATCCTTCGACCCAAACGTATTGCATATAGTAGCCGAAAGGAATAAGCATGACAACACAAGCGCTTGTAGCTCAGTGGATAAAACACCTATTTCCTAAGTTGAAGGTCGCAGGTTCGACCCCTACTTGGTGCGGTAGAGCAACCCGTTTTTGCCTTTTTAAATGTACTTCTGGATCTGATAAGTATTAGCTAACAATTGAATGAAATATGTAATACATGTCATATACAAAATGTCTATTTTTGTATATTTTTTGTATAATAACAGTCTATTTTTGTATAATAACAGACTATTTTTGTATATTTTTTGCATAGTGACAATCTATTTTGTATATTTTTTGTATAGTAACAGTCTATTTGTAGTGACAGTCTATTTTGTATATCTTTTGTATAGTAACAGTCTATTTTGTATAGTGACAGTCTATTTTGTATATTTTTTGTATAGTAACAGTCTACTTTGTATAGTGACAGTCTATTTTGTATATATTTTGTATAGTGAGAGCTAACTGTATATAAATTGTATAGTGACAGTATATTTTTATATAGTGATAGTCTATTTTGTACATATTTTGTATAATGACAGTCTATTTAGTATATTTTTTGTATAATGAAATTCTATTTTTGTATATATTTTTTATAGTGACACTCTATTTGTAAATAAATTGTATAGTAACAGTCTGTTTTGTATATTTTTTGTATATTGACAGTCTAATTTTGTATAGTGACAGTTTATTTTGTATAATTTTTGTATAGTAACAGTTGATGTTGTATATATTTTGTAATATACCAATATTCAAATCTATTTTTGAAAGAAATACATAAATATCCATGTAAATATATACTAATGGTGGGCCTGAAATTATAATTCCCATCAAAATCAACTAATGACATACATGTGGAAATGAAAATTTATTTGGTGAAACCCAAAGGATTTCCCTAGCAAAGAAAGTTAGCCCAGAAAAAATTAGGCAATAATAGAGAGCTTGGGATTTTTATTCAAAGAGTGGTTGCCTCTCTCTCTTTAGCTAATGATTTTTCTTTTCCACTTTTAAAACAAAATCAACAGCCCTTGAATTCCTAGAAATATGTACTACTATATAGTCATTTCTTCAGCATCAATCAACAACCACCATATCTTTCTTTCTCTCTGTTTCTGTGATTTTAGTTCCTTTTTTTGGTACATAACAGTTGAGGCAATGATGATATTTTATATGGATTCTGGGCTAACTGGATCAGGCATATAAACTATCCAACTCGTATCTTGGCCTAGCAAATCACCGGACAGGCAACGATTCAAAGGTTTTTTCTTTGGATGCAATCGGTGATTTTGTAGTCATAGCATGGTCGCCTCTCTTTTCCGCGATCTGTCTTTACAGATTTGAGCCTCAGTACTTTTGGGCTAGCCACTAGAATATTTTTGGGCTATAAAATGTATGTTGCAGTTTTTGGGCTATCGGGTGAAATATGTTTGGGCCGATGGGCTATAAATGAAGTTTGCTCGCTTCTTTTGCCAATTATTTTTGGGTCGAGAAATACTTAAGTGTCAGTTTAATTATTTATGTGAGGGGCGGGTATTATTTTAAAAACTAGCTAATTAACCCACGCGAAAACACCTATACTATAAACACTCTAGTTATTCTAAAAAAAAAAGTTAATCTAAGACTTATTTGAAATACCAAAAAAAAAAATTAAAAACCAAATATGTATGTACGGGAAATAATATATAAGAGAAAGATACACCTTGTACAAAATAAAATAGAAAAATAAATCCAAAAAGAAGAATCACATATATTTTTCTAGTTCTTTGTTAACAAATACTTGGTTAGTTGGTTGTAAACTTGATTGCAAATAATTACTTGGTCGGCCAATCCAAATTATCAAAGCAACAAACTCTATGTATTACATAAAGCTGTATAATCTAATGAATGTATTAAGATTGTGTTAACATTAATATTATTCAAATTAATTAGAGAATACAAAATAAACGGCTAGGAATAGAAGAATCGACACTAACATAAAAAATAAAAAAAATAAGCCTGTAAGGTTACCTTTCCACATTCCATCTTAATCCAAACAATAACACGTGTAAAAAGCATGCAGAAAGAAAATACGTTTGAGCAAATTTTTTATCGAAATGGATTAGGATAATTTACCTAATCATAATAAAATCGAGGCAGATCGCATAAAGAAACATGTAGCATTACAATAAAATAAGTACACAACAATTAAAGGACTGACTTTATCAAAGCTAATTTATTTCTTTCAACTCCTTGATTAACTGCATAATTTGCCGATATTGATCACATCTCCAAAAAATATATCCAGTATACATATTGGTTTTAACAACCTGATAGAAAAGATGGAAAAAATAGTGATACAACTTGTAATATGTTATGTTCAAATGAACTAAATAAAGGATTAACAACAATAACTATAGGAATCAATGATACCTAAAGACAGTGCTTGCAATAAACGTAAATTCTCATATACTGTTTTCAAGTAAGCCATGGTTTAGAGATACCATCACAAAGGGAAAAAAGAAAAGCATACATTAAAATAGCTTCTGCATTTTCAATTGTATTAAATTAAAACTGCATGTTAAGGAATCAAGTGTGAACGAAGACAATTGCTTCTTCATTTTCAATTGTATCGATATAACTGTAAGCGAGGAAAATCAAGCGTACGTGAACAAAGTAAACACAATTAACTTGGCGTAACACTGTAAGAACATAAATTAAGGTATAGGAAGCCAGAAAATCTCTTATTCATGAAGCGTTTGAGTGCTTCTAAGCAATAACATTGGTGGTCGCTGATTTCGACAGGGAATCAGAATTGGAAGTCTGCCACCAGTGGCTCCGAATTTGCCTTGTTGAATTTTTCTTGTCTTATATTTTGGGTGGTGTACAGTTATGTCCGGCATAGAGGATAGATTTGAGGAAGGGACGTTTGTTTTATCTCGGGCTTTGATATGAAGCAACGTTTGGACTGTCCAGTAAAAGAACCGAAGCAACTTTTAAAGGCAACTGTTGCTTCTTCTATAATACAATTTTTTTTAAAATGTAATAAATGAATGAGAAGAAAGAAGGTAAATATGCCAAAAAAATGAGAGAAAAGATAAATATAATTGCTGAACATAAAAGGTGCCACATCACCTTGCCAATAGCCCTCCTTTATATTTATATTTATATATAGATTTCAAAAATTATAGGCAACCGATAATGTTTCACTCTCATTGACGTTGCCGTTGTTGTATTTTGTCAATTGTGTGATATTGGATTTTATTTTTTTTAAAAAAGGCCTTTGGAGTGAAATGCATGTGTTGATGCTATTTGTGTAAAAATGGCGTGTGGTAGCCACTATTAAAGGTGATATTTATTTTTTATCCAGCAATTCTAATGTTGAGCAAAAATAGTCACTAATCTATTAAAATAAATATGAAAAGATATTTTTACCTTTCTTCCATTGCTTTTCTTCTCAAACCCTCGCTTCTCTTTGAACTCGGAACTCCGGTTGAGATGGCTTCGTCGTCGGCAACAAAATTCAAAAGCTTTTTTCATAGTTGAAATTCTCACTTCTCAGTTTTGTCTGGGCGATTGGGCGGAACTGAAGTTTGAGAAGAAGTAGAATAACCAAAGAGATTCAAATCTTCATGTTCCTCGGAGCCCCTGTGCTCTCATTTCATTTGCAGGGCGAAACTTCTGTAGAATCTCGCTCACTGCTACTGGAGAAGAGGAGCATTACTAAAGCTATTTGCTCGAGAGTTCATAACATGCATCCAAATAAACATCTAGACTACACACTGTGTTATTTCACAAATTATAAGTTCCTAACATGAGTTAACTGCTGCAACTATGACTAATTTGACTAATTATGAATAATAAACATCCATGTAGAATCACATGTCAAAGAGTCATATGAAAATGTTATAAGCACAAAATTAAGGACAGGTAGTCCTTAACTTAGAGTTACAAGTTCAAAAGTTAAGGACATTTGGTCCTGAACTTAGACTAACAAGCTCAAAAGTTAAGGACAATAGGTCCCGAACTTAGGCTTAGAAGCCCA